AAATACTATTCTTACAAGTAAAAAGTTCAGAAGGGTTAACCAACCAGCCCAAAGTGATTGTGACTCATCAATAATGCAGGAAGACAATTTCAGTCTATTTACAGGACGGTACTCTGGCCCAATGATCACACTATTTTACTTAAACACATTTAACTGTAGTCTTACTTTACAGGCACTTCATAAAAGGATCCAAAGTTCAATTAAGAATCAGAGGTGGCAATAAAACTGGGGGAAAAAGAAATCTGACCCTAAAAAGGAGCTCTGAAAATGTTAAGACTTAAATGGAAACATTTTTCCTTCATGTGAAGGCCAACGATGACACTATAGTAATTTCTCTAGAGGTATACCCTAACCTAAAAGTTTTTAAAAATTAAAAAATAAGTTGACTAGAAGAAATATGGTATTATCAATACTTCCAGAAGATAGTTGTAAAATGACTAAAATGTTATATATTCCTTTGTAAAGAAACACTTTTAACATATTCAGGTGAATTTCAACTCTCCTTTAATGCTATCCCAATTACTAAAATGGGTTTTGGGTTTAGATGAATGAACTTTGGGTAAAAAAAATCTATAAACTTTAAAAGCTGAGTGAGTAGTGTTCCTCACCAGCACAAAAAAAGTCATTAGTTAGGAAATTTCAAATCATGTCAGTGCTCTTGTACCAGATACCCTAAAAGACCACATCAGTTCACTCAGTCATGTCCGACTCTTTGTGACCACATATATCAAGAAAAACGACAAAAAAACAAAAAATGTTCCCTATAGATAAGGGAACACTTCAAATGAACACCACTATTACAAGCCTCAATACCTCCAGGAGGACCCAACTTTTAAGAATGTAACAACCAAGAAACCGAGGAAATTTGGGAAATTCTTTACCTCATCTGAAGGGGACTTTAATCTCAACACCAGTTTCATTCTGTTCTTTGCCATTTACAGTCTGTCTCCTATGAGAGACGCACACCTGTGTAATTCTACTGGTTAATTCAATTTCTTTGCTTGATTTAAAAAACTTCTAACTATAGCATTCAACATTTTAAAAAGTCATTCTACCCTATTTCCATATCCACACTTATGCTGATGTATGGCTTCACCTCAGTGCACATAAATCATATCTGAGATCTGATTATAAATAATTAATACTTTACCCTAGCAAAGTTATATTATTTATGTGAACCCTTCATTTAATTTGAATTTCCAAATATCAAGAGAATGGGAACTAATATTCTTTGCCTATTTTTAGGCACCAATTACATTATTTCACATAAACTTCACAATCCTAGGGAGATAGAAGGTTTTATCCCCATTTTACAGATAAGAAAAGCAACTCAGAAATATTAAACGTTTACCTTTGACCCAGGGCTGACCCCAATGACCCAACTTGATTATCATCCTGCTCAAATGTTCATAAAGCAGGTTAACAGCAAAAATACTGAAATCATTTAACCTGGGTGCCAGTGTCACTGCCATCCAGAGAAATAATCACAGGCCTGAAACTAAGCTCTTTAAGTCTCAAAGTCACATCTGGGAATAATACTGGTCTTACACAGAGTTGCTGGGATGACACAATAATATGTAATTTTTGTAAAAATACAGGGTAGTGGATTCTCACACAACATTACCTCAGTAGGTGCGAAAAAGAAACAGATAGCCGGATTAGGCATTATACAACTTTCTGGACTGTTTCACTTATTATGATTGATATTATTTTTATAATTTACAAATGTAAGGAAAAGTATAAAATAATTTATAAATGCTGTTATATAACTGTATGACATCTATTATTCTAACCAAACCAATTCTTTCAGAGACACAAAACAGGTTAAACAGAAGAAAAACTTCCCATTAACAGTTATTATTCTTTTTGAAAGTTAAATGTTTCCTAACTGTTGGTTACTAGCGGAAAATTTTAAGGTAGAAAAATTGAGGACAATACTAATGTAAATATAAATACATAGAAATGATTAATAGAATGTCCCTACTTTTATTTTCTCATACTTAGTTCTCAGAGGAACTTATAGAACTAATGTAACAAATTTCAAGTGTTTTGGAAAAAAACTGTTTTTAAGCTATACAAGGCAGATTGAGGGCCTACATAACAGTTTCTCATTTTTAAAAACTCCTTTTAAACAAGGCTTGTTTTTAAAATACTTTCTTTAATAAAATAGAATTTTCTCTGAACATTTCTACCATTTTTACCATTACTAAGTTATTTTGCACAAATAAACTTCTTTAGATGAAAAAATGGGATTATTTTGTTAATCTTTACCCACAGTATGCTTTGAGGAAAATAGCTGGCATCCTTCCAGCTCAGATCCATGTGGACAAAGTGTAACATAAGCAGGTTGGTATAAACACTGAAAAGATCTTGTATGCCCACAAATATCTGAATCACTCCACTGTAAGATGGTATTTCAGAGAAGGAAGAAAAATTCTCTTTCATACACATATTAGAGGGCTTTCCACTGGTTTTTGTTAAGGCCACAAATGGAAAAAACTACTACTGACAGAAAAAGCACACAACATGTGGTATCAAGGACACTGCCCAAGTACTAAGTGAAGCAACTGAATTTTTAAAAAACCACTTTTCAAGCATTTTGGCAACTGGAGTAAAAGTCATTTTTCCTATCAGTGGGTAATCTAAGTAAGAATCTTATTCCTCAATTAAATTTACATAAATTTATCCTGAATACATAAATTTCCTTATAAAGAATACTGTATTTTCATGTGAAACACATAGATTAAATCTAAAATTATAAAACATTTAATGGCACCTTCAACTTGTTGAACTATACACCATATAACTTAGATGATTACTGACTGTGTATTTTTGCTAGGCTTTTAAAAGCAAAATATATTAAAGTTGCATCTCCTGGCTTGAAGTAACTATCAATATAGGTTTAAAATTCAACTATTTTTATTAAATACAAAATTATATATAAAAGGGCAATATAAGATGAACTTATTTGCAAAGCAGAAATAGAGACACAGAAGTGGAGAACAAACATTCGGACACCAAGCAGGGAAGAGGGTGGTGGGATGAACTGGGAGACTGGGGATGCCACATATACACTGCTGTGTAGAAAATAAACAGATAATGAGAACCCACAGGGACTTCTACTCAGTGCTCTGTGGTCTAAATGGGAAGGAAATCTAAAAAACAGAGAGTATATGTAGAACTGATTCACTTTGTTGTACAGGAGAAACTAACACAATATTGTAAAGCAACTATACTCTAATAAAAATTAATAAAAAATGAAAAAAAAATATAAAGAACCACAATATCTTACTGAAAAGCAAAGACATATGAAAGAAAACACTAACACCAGCACCAAACCTTCAAAAATAATTTGCCAATTTAATGGGGAAAAAACCCAATAATGTAAAAATAACTATGATGTTTTAGTTAAGTTTAAAATTTAAAATTCATGAATAGCAGTTCAATGTCCTAACAAGTAAGATAATACTGTTTTATAGCTATGACATCACTCAAGAATTAAAGTCTTGGCAACATCTACCATCGTGGTCTACTGTAGGCTATGATATGTACGTCTGAACAATTTTTGTATACTAAAGAGCAAATGATAAATGCAGTACCACAGGCTACTCATCTTAAATAAAACTTTCTTTCAAAAGCCAGTTTGATTCTGGCGGTGGGATGCTTAGAAGCACCCCAAGAAGCAGGGTAGTGTAGGATGTGAATGGGGCTCCAAAGTTACTGCAGGTCAACTGTGATTTGATCTGGGGTTTTCTTTATAGACTCCTGGCCAAACCAAGACTGGATTCCTAGGCCTAAAGACAAATCAGAACCAAGCTGGCCTCGAACTGGATGCTGGAGCTTTTTTAAATTGATCGAAAAACCTCCTGAACATTATCTATTTAGGAACAGAAACTTTATTTCCTGGTCTTGCAAAACAGATGATCTAGATTTCAATCAGGTTTCTTTTGCAGAAAAAAGAAATTCAAATGTTTAGAACCATTATCATCTTGTTCCATGACAATGTCTATCTCATAAAAAGCAAAGACCTTAAATTATAAAATTAAAAGGTAGTAATCCACAAAAAATAAACTAGAACGTCAGGAACCAATTTCTTTTTTTTTTTAATCCTCTAAACCTAGTGGGAAAAGTAAGTGAGCCAGAAGGAGTGCCAAGTTCTCCTGTGAGGCATTAGGCACGGACACCAATTTGAATTACTGTACAAACCTACAGAGTCCCTGGAATCACTGCTTGGCGAACCAAGTTCCCATTCCATTGCAAGGCACCACGACCTACTCCTTAAAACTTTTCCAACTCTACCGTGTGTATCTTCTCAGACAATATTTTAAATGTTCCCATTCTTTGGGCTAAAGAGTAACATTTAATCTAATGACCCAGTAAGTAAGACACTACCCTGGTCAGATTTTTAGGCTTTTTCTTTATAAATCAATCTGAAGGCAGGTAACTCTTAACCGGTGTACGCATTACGATTCCTGGTCCTAAGACTCTTCGGAAAGATGAGAGGGAAGTAAAAGAGTGTGCGCAAAGACGCTTATTAAGTGGAAAAGCAAAAGATTAGCTAAGAGAGGCCGAAAAGAGGAGGCAGGTCTCAGAAAAGTGAAGGTCGGAACGTAAGACAGGTTGTTACAACAAGATGGGGAAGAGCAAGATTCGAGGGAGAAGATTGGGGAAAAAAAAAAAAGTCTACCCCTCCGAACTCAGGAGGAGAGTTGCAATCCCAAGGGCAGGTGGGGAGGGAGGGGTGCTGGCCTCCTCCAAGAAGGCAAGAGTTAAAGTGAACCCAGATAAGTGAGGGGGGAGAAAAAGCAAGACTCTTTTAACATCCAACCTGCCTGAAATCATAAAGAGGGTGGGAGGACGCCAAGGAAGCTTGGGGAACGCGAGCCCCAAGTGGGCAGAAGGAACCCCCCACCTCCCGCCCCCGAGAAAGCAAAGACTCCAGCGGCGCCGAGGAGAACCCGTGCGTTCCTCCCCGGGCTGCGCCCTCGGAGATTACCTACCTTTGAGTTGGGGCAAGGGGTGCAGCTCCGGCTGGTTGCACTGGCAGCGGAACTGCGACGAGCCCTGCGAGCGCTTCTGCCTCTGCGCCTTGCGCACCGATTTCCGGGTGAAGCCGTCCACTTTCTCGGCGGCCGAGATGGCGGCGCTGGCAGCCCCCGCCGGCGGCGGCGGCGGCGGCGGCGACGACGACGACATCTCCGCGGCCCTGGCGCTTGGCAGCTCGGGCTGCTGCTTGCACGGAACGGGCAGCGGCAGGAGGAGGCGGAGGCGGGGGAGAGGCGCCGAGGAGCTCGCGCCCCTCCGCCCCGTGCCCCCCGGCCGCACCGCCCTCCCGCTCCCGGGTGCCCGCCGAGCTCTCTCCTCGCCGCCCGCCGACGCCTCACGGCCACATCTCAGGGCCGGAGGTTCCCGGTCCCCGCCGCTCGGCGAGCTCCCCGGGGCTGGCGGGGGCGGAGGGGGGGTGGTGTGTGAAGAAGTTGTTGACTCCCGAGTTCCGAGGGCGGGTGGACAGGAGCCCGAAGTTCAGACAACTGAGGCGAGGGCGCGGACGTCGAACGCGCCTCTCGTCCCTGGCGGCCCGGGTCCCCGGCCGGCCGGCCCGCCAGCACCTCAGTGGCCGCTGCCAGGGCAGCCCGCCCTGCCTCGAGCCTCCTCCCGAGGCGCTGCCATCGCGGGGCCCTCCGAGCTGCTGTCTCCACTGCCGGCGCTCTTCCCTGTCAGCGCCGACCCCTCATCTCCCGGGGCGGTGACCCGCTGCCCCGGCCTCGGGCGCGCACACACACACACACACACTCGCTCCTCGAAGCGCCCAGCGGTCCGAACCCCCTCCCCCACGCGCCCTTCCGCCGCCCACAGAGAACCCCTGGCGAACGGCCGCTACAACTTGAGAAGGTGCTGGGAGAGGAGAGGGGCGGGCGGCTGCAGGGGGAGTGCGAGCGTGTGCGCGCGCGCGCGCGTTGGGGGCGCGCGGGCCGGGGGCGGGGCCTCGCGGGGGATGGGGAGGGAAGAGATTGACTGACAACTTCCGCGGGGTCCGGCCAGCCTCTCGGAAGCTAGGGAAGGAGTTGCGGGGTGGAGGGTAGGAAAGCATGCCAGCTCCCTCAACCAATCGCAGGGCGAAGCGGCCCAAAGGGTTGAGGCGTGGCCTCCTGCAAGGTCTTATCAAACTGGGAGGTCGGGCGGAGCGAGGGGGCGTGGTTACGTGATGGACCTCGGCCACAGCCAATCGTAAGTGAAAACGGCTTAGCGGAGTGCCCCTCTTACGTCACAACCGCGTAACTCTTGAAGTCTTGAGGGGAGGTGCCGCTCCAGCAGCGAGCGTAAGTGCACGCCTGCGCGACAGCTCAAGGCGATGGGTACGTGGACAGCCTATGAGGAGACCGGGAAACTAGAGTAGGGAGTTTAGAGAGCAAAAGGGAAGGCTCGTACCCTTTCCTCCCCTCTCTGCTGGCCAATAAGGAGCTGAAGCGACTGGTGGGGAGCTTGAGGGCGGGAGCGCGAAGGCGTGCCAAGTGTTACGTCACTGGAAAGGGGTGGAGCAACAAGCCGTGTGATTGATGGCTGAAGTCGCCCCGAGGAGGAAGGCGAGGAAATGAGCTTGTCCAATGGGAGAGAGATGCTGGACTCTTGGGCGGGCTTTGGAGCCTCTCTGGCCCTAAGCCGCGCACTTGGAAGTTACCGGATAAATTTATAGCTCTCTGAAGGTTCTGGCAGCGCAGTTCCTGAGAGCTGTTTTAGCGCGAGTTCGGACTGTCTGGTGCCTACTACTTCATACCCTTTCCCAAATCCACATCCTCCAAGAAGAGGTTTCTCATTCCCAATTTAACATCCTACTAATTTTCCCTTTTCTTCAGCCGGAGACCTTGAACTGCTTCTACAGGACGAGTATGAATTCGCTGATCAGAAGTTTGTAGCTTTGAGGACTGGCCGTTTACTCTTACTAGGATATCTTACAGGTTCCATCCAGATTTTAAACTTCTTAAAGACCAGAAATGCTGGTCATCTTAGTTTTTTGTCCGGTGCTTTCTGTATAATGATGCCTAATAAAAACAAGTGAACTGCACAGCTTGTCTTGCCTTTGGCTTAGTGGACCCCAATCTCCGTTTCTCTTCCACCAGCCCCAGATCTTTTCCTTTCGACATGCTAAAAATAGCTGCCATATATTTAAGCAACACTACCTGATGCACAGGTAAAGAAGGTGGTAGGAAGTTGAATTCTAGATCTAGAATCAAATGCTACCTTAAAATATTTCCCTCCTTATATTCACTGAGTAGTGAAATTGTACACAAGCGTCCTAGTCAAGGAGGTTCAAACTTCAGCAGTGTCTTAGACCTCTTTCTCATCCAATCAAGCTCCAGACTGTGTTGAATCTATCTTAACAAACGTTCAAACCAAGCTTTCCTTACAATTTGCTTAACCGATTCCCAAATATAGTTCAGGGCTTTCAAACTCACTGCAGATAAGTCTTTTTAAATGCCACATTTATTTTATTGGCACGTGTGAAGAACCATCCAGTACCTCTGGAGTAAAGTCCCAATTCCAGGTTCTTCTCATTCTAACTCGTGGATGTCTTTCCGGGCATAAATTGTGCCATGTCTCTACACAAACTCTATTTTCAGTTTAGACACATCATTCTACATACTGATATCCTAGAAGCAGATTCCTTGACCATCACTAGCTCTAATATCTTGAAATAATCCACTCCCCACCCCCATCGTTTTGAGGCCCATCTTTTCTTCAAATCTTAGCTCAACCCCTATCTTTCCTGAAGCCTTTCATGATAATCTGAGTCAAAGTGATGCCTTTCTTCTTTGCATTCCTAAAGCATCTATTGGGGCTTCGCTGGTGACTCAGACGGTAAAGAACGGCCTGCGATTTGGGAGACCTGGGTTCGATCCCTAGGTTAGGAAGATCCCCTGGAGGAGAGCATGGCAACCCACTCCAGTAGTCATGTTTGGAGAACCCCCATGGACAGAGGAGCCTGGCGGGCTACAGCCCATGGGGTCGCAAAGAGCTGGACACGACTGAGCGACTAAGCACAAAGCATTTATCACCTACACCACTCACAAAGTCTGTCCTCATACGAGGTCAGAGATTGCAGGTACTATGCTCTTTCTTCCCTGGATGTTTGTAAACATCAAAAGAATAAGGGACCTCCGGTGGTCCAGTGGTAAACAATCTGCCTGCCAGTGCAGGGGACGTTTCATCCCTGGTCCGGGAAGATCCTACGTGCCACAGAGCAACTCAGCCTGGACACCGCTATGACTGAGGCCACGAGCCTAGAGCCTGTGCTCTGCCACAAGAGAAGCCACTTCAGTGAGAAGCCCAAGCGCTGCAAGTAGAGAGTAGCCCCCACTTTCTGCAGCTAGCGAAAGCCTGCGTCCAGCAATGAAGACCCAGCACAGTCAAAAAAAAATTAATAAATGAAATTAATAAAAAAAGAGTAAGAACTCGCTTATTTTATACCTTTGTATCTCTTACTGAACAAAGTATAAATATGCAGTATCTACCAATCTAATTTTTATTTCTCAAGAACAAGGTTTCTAAAAGTATATTCATTGGATTACCTGCATAAGAATCCTCTGCGGGGCTTATTTAAAATGCAGATTCCTGGGCCTGACACACAGAATTCTCCCAGACACACAGAATCAGAACCGAAGGGAAAAGCACTAACATATCTTTTTTTTTTTTTTTTTTGCCGCATGGCATAACATGTGGGATCTTAGTTCCCCAAGCAGAGGTTGAACCTGCGCGCCCTGCATTGGAAGCACAGAGTCTTAACCACTGGACTGCCAAGGAAGTCCCCTGAGAAATATATTTTTACTAAGTTTCCTAGGTCACTCTTATGCACGTGAATGTTTGAAACTCTATTCTCTAGCCACCTGGATGTTATTTAAAATAGATCATAAATGTCCAGAATTTGTAATAAAGAGAATTTGAATAGGCTAAGAAGGGGAAATAGATAGCAGAAAGCACACCAACAAAGGTAAAATTCATACTGGAATATGACATATAATAAATAATGGAAAATAGAGACTGAACAGAACAGTTAGAAAATAGATACTGGAAACAAAATTCTTGGGAGGCTTGGAACCAGCAAAACTGTCTGGGTTTTCTGAAACAGCCTCTTGGAGAAGAATTTCGAGAAAAATTTTAAAGAAAGTGTGAGTCAAAACTGAAGAAGAGAGAAAGATGGCATTCTAGATTCAAGTTACCAAACATTTTGGGTGGGATGGAAAGGACTACAGCCAAAGACTCAAAAGGCCTGACTTTATTAATTATAGTATGGTCCCATCAAGTCACTTACCCTCTCAGAGGTTTGATTTCCACATTTTTATGTCAGAAAAAAAAAGTAACCAGCCTTCTTTACAATATTGGCATGAGTTTTAAATATGATGCATAAAATAACAACACTTGGAAAAGTGAATATCATGCACTTGATAATTTTATGAACATATGTATGAACATATGTATTATCATGTGCATGATATTAATCACTTCTCTTCCATGCACTGTCTTAAGTAAATAAGGTATCTGAGTCATAAACAGATTCGGTCCCTAAGAATCATCTAACAGAAAACCGCAATCTCAGTGCTGAACTGTTTGTACCCCTGACAAGCAAGAGTGTCAGTGATGAATCCATGCTGTAAAACTCCTGTTTTTCCCCATATTTGAAGACCCATATATAAGTCAGAGGCCAAGACTTCATCACTGGCAAATTCTTTGCTTTACTTTATCCTTACATGACTTGATTTCTTTACTGATTTCATTCTTTTATTCACAATGACTAGCTTGCTGGGGAAAATAAGCAAAGAGATCAAATCAGTCAATCCTAAAGGAGATCAGTCCTGAATATTCATCAGAAGGACTGATGCTGAAGCTGAAGCTCCAATACTTTGGTCACATGATGCGAAGAACTGACTCACTGGAAAAGACCTTGATGGTGGAAAAGATTGAAAGCAGGAGGACAAGGGGATGACAGAGGATGAGATGGTTGGATGGCATCACCGACTCGATGCACATGAGTTTGAGCAAACTCCAGGAGTTGGTGATGGACAGGAAAGCCTGGCATGCTGCAGTCCATGGAGTTGCAAAGAGTCAGACATGATTGAGCGACTGAACTGAATGAGATGACAATATCTACAATAGCAAAATCATGGTCTTTTAATGGTTTAAAGTGTGCATTAGAGGAAAAA